ATTCATTCAGACAATTGTATTGTTAAACGACTTGACCCACTATAAAAAATTTTTAGGGTACGGGGTTCTCTCTCTTGCATTACTATACATATTAGCCCATATGTATTTCATTCTTAATTCCGGTAAAAATCGAAAAATTAGTTATTGATTCATACCCGGGTATCTTACAAAATACCGCATCCGATGACCTTGAAACGTACCCGGTACAAATCAAGGGGGGTACCTTATACGGCGTTTTACGGTATGTAGGCACCTTATAACTCATTCTATTATAAAGTTTAATGTAAATTATACATTAAAAAATCTATACACATAAAAAAAAATAATAATAAATGACTGGTGGAAAGATTTTTATTAAATCAAAATTACGTGTTTCAAATACTTGTCAAAGAAAAGAAATTATATTCTTGCACTGTTTAGCTGAATAAAAACCTGATATGTCTAATCTAAATGTGGTATAAATAAAACGTGTAGTAAAATTAATATACTATAGTTTTTTGCCGGTTTATTTATTCCATACCAAAGGGTCGTCACAGCATTTTCAGCCTGATTTCTATAAATGGATTACGCCAGATGGACAAGTTGCTGTTTCAGTAATTGATAGGTTTGCACAGCTCCATAACTTGGTTATACCCTAAGACGAATCTATTATAAAGTTCCATATAAAATAATGCCTGGTTTTTTATTTGTGCCATGCAATTCATTAGTTCTATTTATATACCTAGAAGAAAATTAAATGCACCCTGCTTCGAAAATTACAATAATCAACGTCCGACCCATAAATCCGATATTCACCTGTGACAATTCATATTCGATATTGAAATTAAATCGCAGGATCTGTACTTTTGTGTAACAATCAGACATCTCTAAAATATCCAAGATAAATAAACTTCAAACGCATTTATAGAACATACATTCTTAGAATTTATGCAAGAGAGCAACAGGCTTACAACTTAGCATTTATGCTGTCGATGGTTATGTCATTTCCAGCATTAGACACGACCCAGAATAATATTCGTATACAATAGCATGTATATATGACAGAAATCTGACTCTTGGCCAATTATTTTTGAATCCAGGCCAAAATGTTATTATATATAAAATTGGTCCGGGTTCAAAAAATAACCCATATCTATTAGTGTCACGTGACACGAGAACTTGATAAGTAAATACTACACGTGAAAGATGTGATAAATATAGCTAAGCTAATGTGTCTGCGCCTTAATAAACTTTTTTTTCTTGTTCTTATTCTAATACGTATCAAAGTTTCGGCAAAAAATTTGTCTTAGCATTAAATCCGATTATATAATGTTTTTGCGATGCTTTTGTTTGGTTGATACAAAAAACAGGCACTCAAATAATGAAACTCAAGTTTCGCATTTGCATAAATAAGTTTAGAATTTAGAATTTCAGTAGTTCTTTTCTATAAAACTTAATGTAAATATAAACATTGAAAAGTTTGTAGCACACTATAATTTTTGCATCTTTTTTTAAAACATTAATGCGAACTCAACAAAGAAAATAGCTTGCTTATTTATGGTAGAACCGTATTTAAAAAAAAGCTGTGGGAAAAATTAGATACCACTTATGAATCTTTATACAAAACAAGGAGTAACATAAGGTTTTGACCATATGATAATTTTTTCGGCTTGTACAAAATCAATCATATGCCTTCAGGAAGTACACCAGCAAAATGATTCTCAATGACGATTAAATTTATGGTAGTTGTCCTTGCATATTGAAAGCATTAAAATTTTCTTTCGTTAAAATGTAAAAAAAATTTAATTATTTTGTGTCTGTGTAACATACGAATATAGTACCCTGGGCATGGTATACGATACCATGGTTACCTAATAGCACAATTCCACAATTAGCCAAATCAAAAGAACTTGTGTTACTTTATATTAAAATACATTTTTTTATTTTATACATATCTTAATTTATCTTTATATATTCTTAGTGTATATGTATAGGCGTATATAAAAGTAAGTTAATTTTATGAGTAGTTTATACATCTTTATGGTTTATGCACTAGAAGTGTTATTTCATTGATATACTGATAAAAGTATATATCTTTCATATACATAGTTCAACTACGATCAGAGAATCTCTACGCATTGCCGAATTGAATATGAAAAAATATAGATGGAAATGGTTGTTTATTTTCTGATCAACCAATTACCATTGCAAAAATCTAGACTTTAATAATAAAATAAACTTAAAAACGAGTATATTCTTTAAAATTTTCACACCCTGCTGCATAATATACCCGAAACTAATTTAAATTAAAAAAAAGAAAGTTTTAAATGAGATCCGGTTACTATAAAAATGATTTGTACAGCAATAAAAACAATATCCTGGGTTGCTGAGTATTGTGTATTCATTATTTGTTAACACCTCATGACATATCAGATGTAGTGATTGATCGTAATTTTGTGGGCACACAGACAGAAACTTAAATTTTTTTTTGAAAAAGGTCGATTAATGCTTCAAATGTTTACAAGTGTATGTTAGGAATTCACAATTAAAAAAAAAAAAAGATTTAGAAAGCAGATTTAAGTTAAAATTTATCTATTTGGAACTTTTAAAAAAAGGACCGGCACTACTTATTCTATAGACTAGCCTTTTCTGATTAGTTAATTATTACAGTTGTATTTATACAATTTTAAAGCTATACCGTATGCTACTGCTTACAGTGCCCCGTGGTCTTATTCAAGAATTCCGTTTTTAAAATTGAATAGTACCCATGGGTACTGCGAGTACTATATCTGGGGATATATCATATTAAAAGTAGTAAATCATTATAGTTATACCTATACTTGCTGGAAAAACACGGACAAATCCCAAATTCAAAAAAAACAATTTCTATTTGTAAAAGATTAAATCAAAAAAGTAATCTTAAAATTTTGCAAA